GCGGCCATGTCGTCTCGCCCTCCGCTCGCTCGCGCCTCCCCGCCTCTGCGACCGACGAGCGGCTCCGCTTCGTGCAGGTACAGGAGGGAAAACACACACAGACAGAATTAATCGTCGATTCCCCAGGAAATATGGGAAAATATGGGAAGTGGGGGGGAAGACAAAAACCTAGAAAATATGGGAAAATATTTATTTGTGTGTCCCAGGGCCCCTTCACTGCTCCGTGCAGGTACCAGTTCCTGTTCAAGGCCGGCGCCTTCATCATCATGTTGACGATCGTGCCTCGCCGCGCTCCCACTCCGATCTCTGGGTGTCACCAGCCTCGAACTGATCCCTATCCCTAAGGTTGACACGCCAAAAGGCGATGACCATCTTAGGGATGCGCCCTAAAAAACTAAGGGAATCCCTAAGATTGGCATCGAGATGAGGCGATGCCCAGCTTAGGGATAGGGATATGTTCCAGGCTGATCAGGGTGGGCAGCGCACCGATGGATGGTCGACCAGGGGAGGGACGACGGTCGGAGGAGGAAGACAACGAAAGGAGGGATTCGCTGGAGTGTCCGCTGGCCTCCACGGAGCGGGAGCGAAGTCAGCGCTCGAGCGCCCCAAGCGGCGGGCCGCGGAGGAGAGCCTCGCGCCTGGCAGTGCCCTGCTCCCGAGCCCGGGGCGCCTTCGACAACAGGGGGGGGAATCGAGGAGCGGAGGAGGAAGACGAAGGAGAGAAGGACCCGGCATCGCTCGGACGTGTGCATTTTTCTCGGCTGGGGCCATCGAGGAGCATCTTTGATCATTTGGCGGGAAAGCCACGCACGAAACCGAAGAAGACACAGGGAATGGACGTCCGAGCGATGGCCAGCGGAAGAGGAAGACAATGAAAGGAGGGATTCGCTGGAGTCCGCTGGCCTCCACAGAGCGGGAGCGAACTCAGCGATCGAACACCCCAAGCGGCGGCCAAGAGGGCGGTGATGACTGGGGGGGGGGATATGATGGCGGGGGCCACGACGTCTCCCAGATCTCATGGCCCCCTCTTCTTCTTCAGTGCATCCCCTGGTCCCCCTCCCCCTCCCCTCGTCCGCGCAGCTGCCTGGGGCCATGATCTGCGACTCCCCCCCCTGGGACGCCCCACCCCCCGCTCGGACGCCCCCGACCTCGGGGAGAGCGCAATGGGCCGGTCCTCCGCCCAGGCTGGGCCGGGCCAGGATCGGTGCATACGGATGGTTGATTGGCTGCGCCGCGACACTCAGACGTGCACGCTCCCTCTGCTGCTCCCTGCTCCTCCAGGATTCATTCTGTTGTCATCCGTCGTCTCGCCCGAGGCCTCCCAGGTGGGGTCAAAACAGGTGGGGTCGGAGGATCGCGCCGCATCGCCGATGCATTGGCGATGCGGCTCGATGTGGAGACTGCCGTTCACCACGCCGACGTCGTCGATGCATCGCCGACGACGCCGATGCATCGCCGATGCATCGGTGATGCATCGATAATGCACCGGCGATGCGGCGCGATCCTCCGGCACCCCTTACTCTGACCCCATTCGGGAGTCATCCATCTGCATTGTCTTGTACACGCCGTTCGCTTCATACAGGCGCCACATCTGTTGTTGTGGACAACGCCACGTGAACCTTGACGTGCGGGAGTCGTACTTGTCATGGTGTTGTTGTCAATCGCGAGCTCGCTCGTCGCAACCTGATCGCCTCGCCCGGCATGCATGTGTCGTCTGGTTTGGCATTTGTTTTCGCACGTTCGTTGTCCCCCCGCCAGCTCATCCTGCTCATGTTCGTGCTTCTTCTCCTCCTGCTGCCCTCATTCCCCCATGACCACTCGGCCCCCTCTGCCAGCCCGGTCCCAGTGCCCGACAGTCGTTTGCGCTTGCGTCCCCATCTTCCACTACCTCGATGCATCTCCTCCCTGCATTCGCAGCAAGGTGCTCATAACCAAGAAGGTTCAGGCATGGATGGGGCATGGAAAAGACAAGGACACAACCCGGCGCTCTGTGCCCCGGCCTCGCTGTGTGGTTGCATCGACCCCACTCCCTTCCGTCTCCCAACTGCTGCCATTCCTCATCATCCTTCCCCGTCTCCCGATCCCCTCAGTCTGAAGGTGAGGTCGAGTGAATGCCGAGCAATGTTGCACGTGGCAGCGTCGCCCAGGCGCCCTGGGGAGATGCGCATCCTGTTGGGCGCCTCAGCCGTGCGTAGAAGCGCAAGCCCTGCGCGATCAAGGAGCGCACGAGGTTGGCTCTGCATATCCGAGCTGGTCGCTCGCCCTCCGCAGGGAAACGACGAGGCGTGCGCAGGCACAGGAGTTGCACGCTGGAGGTGAGCCAGCGCTGCGGGGTACCCAGGTGGGGCACCGCCTCTCGCGCCTGCTCGTGCCGGCTGCTCCTGACCGCTACACACAGGGGAACAAGTAATGGCCTTGGCATCGCTCGGACGTGTGCATTTTTGCTCGGCTGGGGCCATCGAGGAGCATCCTTGATCATGTCGCGAAAAAAACCACGCACGAAACCGAAAAGAACACAGGGAATGGATGTCCGAGCGATGGCCAGAGCATATAAACGTAAAACCTCTGAGGTCCGCGCGGACTCCCCGGATCGGCGCTGGGGCCCCCTGGCGGCGCCTCGGACGCCGCCCCTGGCACGCCCTCGCGAAGCTCCTTGACGAGATGGTCCCGACAGCCTCCGAGGGGCGACGGCCCAGCTGCCGCCCTCTCCGGGAGGCGCTCTCCGCGCATGCGCGGAGCGGAGTCGGCGCCTCGCCTCGCCTATGCCTCGCCTCGGAGGGGGGCCCGGCGCCCCCTGCGAGGAGTCCGCGCGGACCTGCGAGCTCTCGTGCTCGTGCCGCGGCTCCTTCCCCCCCACGGGTGGGACTGCCCGCTGCCCAGCCCGCCCCTGCCTGCTCGTGCCGCCCGCGTCGCCGTCTGTCGCCTGCCCCTGCTCGAGCCCCCGCCTCCGTGGTGCTGGGCTTCCGTCGGGCCTGCACTCCGTAGCCATCTCGGCTCCAGCGCCGAGGCCCAGGGCGGGGGCGCGCCGCAGCGGCCGGGGGCGGGCGGGCGCCATGAGCGCGACGACGTTGCCCTGCCAGGGCGCGGTCTCGTCGTCGGCGGCGCGGTGCGGCAAAGGCGCCAGGGCAGACTGGCCGAGGATCGCGGCCGACTGGGTGGCCGCGGGGTCTCCCGCGCTATCGGCGCAGCGTCGGCGGCGCGCAGGGCTGGCACCACCCCGTCGAGGCACGTCTCTGAGGGCGACGAGCAGCCCGTGTCCGACGGCGCCCGGCAAGGTGGTCTCCGCAGAAGGGGAGACGATTCACCCCGTCGCCGCGATGTTGGCGACTGCATCCGACATCGCCGCCAACACGCCGAAGCTGAAGCGCGTGCACGGCTCGCCGCCGCCGCTGTGGGCCTCCTCGAGCGCACGTACGAGCCTCGGGAGCACGGCATTCACGTCGTCCGTCTGCCAGGAGGAGGTCCACCAGCTCAGGCACCGGGTCGGCCAGCTAGAGGAGCTCCTGCGGCGGAGGGCGGAGCAGGTCGGCCAGCTGGCCGAGGAGGTCGACGGCATTTCCGCCCTCGCCGCACCTGGAGGACTGCCGCCGCTGTCGAGGCAGTTGGGCGAGCTGCTGGAGGACCACTCGGTGAGCGAGAGCACCCTTGATAAAGTGGAGCAAGCAAGGCGATCCGCCCTTCAGCAAGAGGACCTCGCTGCAACCTTCTCGAACGCCGCGCAGGCACTGCAGAGGCGGCTGCGCGCGATGGCGTCCCAGCACGAGGAGGACGGCCTGGCCGCGGGCTTGGCCACCACCCCGCTCCACACCCAGCGCTCCGCCCCGAGTTCCCGCGCCGCCACGGCCAGGCACTCGGAGGCAGAGCGCCGGCCGGCCGCGGAGGACCCGGAGCGCGGGCCCGGCGCGGAGGAGGCCGCGTCCCTGGGCAGCTCGGGCATCCAGGCCCTCCGCCTGGAGCTCGCGTCGCTCGGCGCCGGGGAGCGCGCGCACCGGGCCGCGATCCGCCGGGCGCGGGAGCTGGCGGCCGCCGAGGCGCCTCCGCCGAGTGCGCCGGCAGCCGCGGCGCCGCAGGCGACGGCCCGTGAGGCCGGTCGTGCCGCCGCGCCGGCGGGCTGCGCGGAGGCGGGCGGCGACCGGCGGGCGCCTTCGGCGGAGTTGCGGGCGCAGCACGCCGTGCAGGTGGCCAACGAGGTCGCCGCGCAGGCCGCCCAGGCGCTGGCAGAAATGCGGAAGCGCGAGGCCGCGCTCGCGGCCCAGGCGCGCACCGCCACAGAGCAGAAGGCGGCGCTGGAGGCCATCCTCGGCAGCCTCTTCCCTGGCGACCGGCTCCCGCTCAACTGACCATCCGCGGCAGTTCGGGCCAGCCCCGATCCCCCGCGAGACTGTGCAACGTCCTGCCGACCCCCAAGTGTGCAACATCTGGGCACAACGACGGCTGAGCCAGTCGCCTCCTCCCCCCTAGTTGAGAACTGGCGCATCTCGCCTGGCGCCCGGCTGCGTCCTTGCGCGTGGACTGCCGTGTACAGCGTGTCACCCGATCCAGCCTGGGAGCAGCGCGCGCTGGCGCTCCTGGACCTGCGCTGATCTCCCTGTCGTGCTCCAAAAAGAAGAAGCGTAAGTCGGGCCTGTCCCTCTACAGGGGGAAGATCCAAAGACAGTCAACACATAGTCTGGGGACGATGTTTTGGAGCGTTTTTGGACCATTTGGGAACACCATGTTTGGACCATTTGGGAAAGTATCCAAAAATAATCAAAACATAGTCTGGGGGCGATTTTTGTTCTAGCATGTTTGGACCATGACGATTTTTTATAGCATTTTTGGACCATTTGGGAACACTTTGTCTGCATATGTTTCTAATGCTTCGCCGAGAATCCCTGGAGTGCAGTGCAGTGTTGGAGCATGCTTGCTTGCTTCTCGCGTGCGTGCTGGAGTGCAGTGCGTTTCTCATGCTTGCTCGCGTGCAGTGTTGGAGCATTTTTGGACCCTTTGGGAATACTTTGTCTGCACCTGTTTCTCATGCTTCGCCGAAAAACTCCCCCTGCAGGGGGGGGGCACGCCCGACTTCCTGCCGGGCTCCTGCGCCCGACGGCCCCGCTCCGCCGGCGGGCCTCCGGCCCCCGCCCCTGCCCCTGGCCGGGGGCCCCGCTCCCGTCGGGGGCGGGGATGACTAGGGGGGTGATGACTGGGGTCCCGTCGGGGGCGGAAAAGAGGGGGGTGATGACTACGGGGGGGGGGGGGGGGGGACATCATGGCGGGGGCCATGACATCTCCCCAGATTTCACGGCGCCTCTTCTCCATCATTCCATCACGTCCCTGGCCCCCCGCTGGGCCGCGCACATGCCGCCGGTCATGATTTGCACCCCCCCCTCTTGGACCCCCCCTTCTTGGCCGGGGCCCCGGGTCCCGCCTCCGCCCTTTCGGCCTCCCGGCCTTTGCTCCCGCCCGGGGCCTCTGCTCTCCCAGCCGCAGCCCCTCGCAGACCGCGCGGGGGGGGGAGGGTGATAATTCGGCTCGTCGTCGTCGCCGTCGAGGTCGTCGTCGTCGCCGTCGCCGTCGTCGTCGTCGTCGTCACGGTCGTCGTCGTCGTAGGAAACGGTGAAAAAACGGCCCTGCCGTTTCCAGGGCCCACAAAGGTGGGGACTATTTTTGAAGCTATTGTTTGACCATTGGGGGGCATTGTTTTATCATTTTTTATTTCTCGTCGAAAATCCCCCTGTAGGGGGACACGCCCGACCGAATCGTAGACCGCGCTGGGGGGGGGGAGGGTTTTCGTGCCACCCCCCGGTGCTTAACATGCGACCGCTCTAGACTTGAGAGGTGGGCCCAGAGGGCGCTTGTACCCCGCGGGCCCGGGCAGACCTATCCGAATCGATGTGTTATTGGTGTTTGTTGTTGTTGGTGTTATTGTTGTTGTTGTTGTTGTTGCTGCTGCTGCTGTTGCTGTTGTTGGTGTTGCTGGTGTTGTTGCTGTTGTTGGTGGTGTTGTTGTTGTTAGTGTTGTTGGTGTTGTTGTTGCTTGTGCTGCTGTTGCTGATGATGCTGCTGCTGTTGTTGTTGGTGTTGGTGTTGGTGTTGTTGTTGTTGTTGGTGTTGTTGGTGGTGGTGGTGGTAGTATTGTTGTTGCTGATGTTGTTGCTGCTGCTGTTGTTATTGGTGTTTGTTGTTGCTGCTGCTGGTGTCGTTTTTGGTGTTTGTTGTTGGTGGTGTTGTTCTTAGTGGTGTTATGTGCTGTTGTTGTTATTGGTGTTTGTTGTTGTTGCTGTTGGTGTTGTTGTTGTTGTTGTTGTGGTTGTTGTTGTTATTGGTGTGTGTGTGTTGTTGTTGCGGTTGATGGTGTTGTTGGTATTGGTGTTTGTTGTTGTTGTTGTTGCCGTTGTTGTTGCTGTTGTTGTTGTTGTCGTTGTTGTTGAGGTGTGTTGGTTCTCTCTCTCTATCTTTCTCGCTCTCCCGCTCTCTCTCTCTCTCTCTCTCCCTCTGTCTCTCTCGATCTTCCTGGAGTGCCGCTGCCCCTCCAGCTCCCTTCCTGGCCTCCCGTCCAGCCGCGACGCCGCTAATCTCCCTCACTGGGAGGCCGAGGCAGCCGCATCCCTCCCCCGCTGGGACGGGCACGGGGAGGAGGAGGGCTCGACGTCAGGCTGACTCGTTGTTTCTTCCCATCTTGGGGCTTGCTGGCATTGACGGTTCGCCGATACTCCTCATCTCGTGCCAGTTCCCGCCGTCTCTCCCGCGTCCCGTCCGTCCCGTCCTCTTCCTATCGCCCGCCCCGTCCCGTCCCGTCCCGTCCCGCTCCCCTTTTCCGCCTCGCCCCCCCCGTCCACTCTCCCCAGCGGGGGGGGCGAGCCAGAGGCCCGCCTCCTCCTGAGCGCCTGTCCCAGGTCGCTCCGCGGAGGCGCGAAGATATGGCGGCGCTGCACGCGTCGCGGTCCGGATCAGCGCGGTCGCCCTTCTCCGAGCGGGTGGCGCGATGGCGCGAAGCGAGTCGCGTCTCACGGGGTGCGATGCGCGAAGCTGGGTGGCGATTCGCCAGTTGCACCGCATGTCGCATAGCAGTATACGACCAGGGCACGCAGGTTCCCGGCACGCCCGACGGATCCCGCGCTGCCCGCAGGGCGGCCGAGCCCACCGTCCGCCACGGCATGGCCGTCCGAAGACAAGATGGTGAAAAGACGTGCTCACTACTGCGGGTTTCTTGATAAGCGTGGGGGGGGAACCCCCCGACGGGGGTCAACCTCGCCTTGTCGTCGCGCCGCGACGGGGGTCGGAGCGCCTTCAGCGCGCGGTGGCTGCCCGCGACGGGGGTCGATGTGGGGCTGTCGGCGGGGGTGACGCCACCCCGGCGCTTATTAGGAAATTCGGAGTAAACTCGTCATCCTCCCGCTCGCTCCCTGGTCACACTCGACGCGCGAGGAGGGCGCCAAAGCCGCCCCATCGCCGCCCGGGCCCGAGCCGCCGCTGTTTCCCGTGCCGGAGTCGACGCTCCCCGAGAAGGGCGAGCTTTGATGTGGGAAGCGGGCGGGACGGAAGAGGTGGGGAGAGAGGGGAAGGGGAAGGGGGGAGGGGGAAGGGGGTGAGGAGGGAAGGGGGGGGGGGTGTACGAGGAGGAAGAGGGCGAGGGGGAAGGGGGCGAGGAGGCCAGAGGGAGATAGAAGGGCAGGCTGGGAGTGTTCGCGCCTCATCTGACATCCGATCCCTCCCTCCCATACCTTCCCATGGTGCTGATGTTTCTCTTTCCGCGGACGCGCGTCATAACCGAAAGACCACTTCGTGTCATGCAGGAGCCGCGTGCAAAGGAAAGGAGGAGTAGGAGGTGGCGCGTGAGCAGGAGGAAAAGGCTACTGACGAACAGCAGCAGCAGGAGCCAAAGCGGAAGGATCAGGATGGAAAGGAGGATTAGGGAAGGCGGAGGAGGGGAAGTGAGAGCGGCGACAACGATGAATGAAGACTCGCATTCAGAAAAGTGGCCCGCGCTGAGGCGAGACGAACATCAGCAGCAGGCATTGGAGTGGAAGGAGCGGTGGGAACTGGAGGACCAGGGGGAGGCGAGGAGGGGAAATGATGGGGTGACCACACTGAAGCAAGTCTCGAATGCAGAAAAGTGGCCCACGCTTAGGCGAGAGCGCTAGTCACAACGACGGGAGCAACGCGCCGAGCCGAACATGAGGCCCACGTTGCAGCGGGAGCATTTGGTCGTAGAAACCATGCGAAGACAACAAGGTTTGAAATCTTGTGTGCAAAAAGAGCACGCAGAAGAGGCGGGAGATCTTCCGGGCAACATCAGGGGAGGAGGTAGATTAGTACTCAGACTGTTTCATGGTGGAAGGGTGAACGGGGAAGGGCATGAGGAGGAAAGGGGGGTACGAGGAGCAAGACGGCGAGGGGGAAGGGAGGCGAAGAGGGGAGAGGGAGATAGGGACAAGCTAGATGCGCTCGCACCAGATTGGACATCCTGCCCCTCCCATCCATCCCGTCCCACTATGCTTTTTTCTGTATCCGCCGACGGGTGTCATGGCTGTCTTGAAACCCCACAACGGCCCAATTTGGCATGCTTCATCACAGAAGGGGAGCTGCGTACATTGGAGGAGGAGGTAGCGGATGAACAAGAGGATGGACAGGACGATGACGACGAAGAGGAGGAGGAGGCAGGAGGAAGAGGAGGAGGAGAGGGACGAGGACGAGGAGGAGGAGGAGGAGGAGGAGCGGGAGGATCGGGAGGTGCAGGATGAAAGAGCGGGGCGACAACGATGAGGAAGCACTTGGATCCAGCAGAACTGGCCCGCGCTGGGGCGAGAGCGCCACTCTGAACGATGGGAGCAAAGCGCCGATCCGAGAATAAGGCAAGCGCTGCAGCGAGAGCGCCATGTTGAGGCACTGGAGACGTTCCGACTGCAAAGCAGCGAGAAGCAATACCGAATGATAGCGTCCAGTGTGTAAAACAACAATACGTATGTGGGGGCGGGCGACTTCCTGGCAATCTTCGGAAGAAGGGAAGGCGAGTAGCACGAGGATAAAGGAAAACGGGATGGCGCCTCTGTAGGTGAAGGGGGGGAGGGGAATGGGGGGAGGGGAAGGGGGGAGGGGAAGGGGGGGAGGGAAAGGGGGGGAGGGAAGGGGGGGAGGGGAAGAAGAGGACGAGGAGGAGAGGAAGGGGGGGAGGGGGGTAGCCGCTGCAGGGCTCGGGGTGGGGCGGAGGAGTAGGAGGAGGAGGAGGAGGAGGAGGAGGAGGAGGAGGAGGAGCGGGAGGAGGAGGAGGAGGAGGAGGAGGAGGAGAGGAGGAGAGGAGGAGGAGGAGGAGGAGGAGGAGGAGGAGGAGGAGGAGGAGGCGGAGGGGAGGTGGAGGAGGAGAGGAGGGAGGGAGGAGGAGGAGGGAGGAGGAGGAGGAGGAGGAGGAGGAGAGGAGCAGGAGCAGGAGCAGAGCAGGGAGGAGGAGGAGGAGGAGGAGGAGGAGGAGGAGGAGAGGGGAGGAGGAGGAGAGGGAGGAGGAGGGAGGAGGAGGGAGGAGGAGGAGGAGGAGGAGGAGGAGGAGGAGGAGGAGGAGGAGGAGGAGGAGCGGGAGGAGCGGGAGGAGGAGCGGAGGAGGAGAAGGAGGAGGAGGAGGAGGAGGAGGGAGGAGGGGGGAGGGAGGAGGAGCAGGGAGCAGGAGGAGGAGGAGGAGGAGGAGGAGGAGGACGAGGAGGAGGAGGAGGAGGACGCGTACAAGAGGAGGAGGAGGGATGGGACAGGAGGCGGGGAGGAGAGCACAGCAGCGGCAGCAGGCGCAGGCGCCCTCGCGCCCGTCGCTTGCCGCCCTCGCCCCCGTCCCCGCGGTGCCCGTGCCCGCCGCCGCTGCCGCTTGCCGCCCCGCCCGCAGCTGCTGGGCGGGAGGCCCGGCCGAGACAACGGAGGCCTTCCGCAGAGAGCCTCTCGGAGGCATCCATTTGGAGTCCCGAGACGGTGCGGTGACAGACCGTGCGGTGACCTCGAAATCCCCCAAGACCTCACCGCACGGTCCGTCACCGCACGGTCTTGGGACCTCGGAGGCCCCAGTCGCCCGAGACGTCCTCGGAGAACGACCCGAGTCCCAAAACCGTGCGGTGACCCCGAATCCCCACCGACTCACCGCACGGTGTGGTCACCACCCCGTTTGGGGGGCCGGGGCCCCGAATCCGGGCCTCCTGGAGTCTACGGTCAGCATTGTTGGCTCAGCGTGTCGCTCCGCCGGTTTGGGCCCACCACGCTGCGCCGCGGCACGGCATCCGCTCTGCCATGCCCCAGGCGACAGCGCCCCGCGCCTCGTCTCCCACCCTCCAGCCCCGCGGAGCGCAGCCACACGCCATCTGCTTGCTAAGGTGTCGCCAGGACCGCCGCGGCATCACGATGAGCCAAAGTTCCCGACCGCGGGCCTCCCAGGTGGGTTCGGAGCAGATGGGGTCGGAGGATCGCGCCGCATCGCCGATGCATTGGCCATGCGGCTCGATGTGGAGCCCGATTTTCTCCGCGCTGGCGTCGCCGATGCGTCCCCGACGTCGCCCGGGCATCGCCGATGCATCGGCGATGCATCGGCGACCCGGCTCGATCCTCCGCCCCCATCTACGCGGACCCCGTTGGGAGGCCTCTCTGGAGGTGGGGCCCCGCCTCGAGAAGGCGAAGAGCGCGAGCGCAGCGAGGAGCCTGCGTGCCGACGAGCCAGCCAGCACGTGATCCCACGCGAGTCGTCCCGGGAAGGCCTCGTCTTCGAGGCTCGAAGGGGATTGCGTCTCTTCCTGGGTGGCAGGCGGCGGAAGCAAAACGAGGGCAGTTCCGCTGGCGGAAGCCAGCGGAAGGCCAGCGGAAGGCGGGGGAAGTGAAAGATGCCCCCGTCAAAAGATGGCAAAGTTTTGTGCCCCAGGCATCTGGGATCCGCCACATGAGATCGGTTCGCCCTGCGTGGAGAGGCCTCGCCCCCACATGAGCAATATTTGGTCCAGGGCACGACATCGCACCCGAGACGGGGTAGTGCGGAGGGGGGGCCTCTGGACCCCTTGGAGGCCGTTCGTCGCCACGGTTGGGTCCGCCTCCGCGAGTGGGTCAGGATGGAGCCTCCAGGGGAGGAGGAGGAGGAGGAGGAGGAGGAGGAGGAGGAGGAGGAGGAGGAGGAGGAGGAGGAGGAGGAGGAGGAGAGAGGAGGAGGAGAGAGAGAGGAGAGAGGAGAGGAGAGGGAGGAGGAGGAGGAGGAGGGGAGGAGAGGAGAGAGGAGGAGGAGGAGGAGGAGGGAGGGAGGGTTTTGAGCGGATCTGGGCTGGCCTCGGGGGCCGCCGTTGTCTCAGCAGGCCTTCCTCCGAGGGACGGTGCACGGAGTGCCGTATGAGCCGGCATTGCACGAGGCGCAGCGCATTGAAAAGCGGGTTCTCTTCGTCCCGCCCGTTCTCTCCTCCTCATGTTCTTCAGCTTCGGCCTCCTCATCTTCGTCCTAGCCCCTACTGGCCAAAGAGGCGGGATGTCTGTGTACCTTACTTGCGTGGGCCGAGGGTCCACCAAATGTGGACGCCCCCACCAGCCCATCCTGTAATGATCCCCAGGCGAGCTGCCTTGATGAGAAAAGGCGTGGGAGCATGCTGGCAGTGGAACAAGGAGGGAGACAGCCGCCAAACCGAAGCTCGGGATTAGCTTGGGCAATCAACCCTAAAGGCCGTCGCGAATCTTTCGATATGGGAGCCCCTTGAAAGTTTATATTGGGGCCAGCGTTTAGCACTGTTGGGGATTAGGGCCACTCTTGGAGCTCTGTTGGGCGATAGTGTAGCAGTATTGAGGCCTCAGACACCCATCGGACTGGAAAAGGCGAGAAGCCAAATCATCCTCTAGCAATAAGGTCGGATGTTCAATGATGTCGCAGGCCTAGAGGTTGACACCAACACCAAGGTCGGCGGTGTGCCTCCACCGAGGGAAGACGATCCCGATCTCGGTGATGGTGGTAATATTCTGGCTTCCAAGGCGACCGAAAGATTACCATCAACACCGAAATCTAGGATCACCTTCCCCACGTGGAGGCCCCCCCCTGTATTGGTGTTGGTGTTTTTGTCCTGCATTGTGTGTTTGTTTTCCCACTGTGTGTGTTGTGTGTTTTTGTCCCACAGTATATATGTGTGTGTGTTTCCCACAGTGTGTGTTGTTTGTGTGTATGCTTTCCCACAGTGTGTGTGTGTGTGTACGTGTGTGTTTTTTGCACAGTGTGTGTGTGTGTGTTTCTTTTCCCACGTGTTTTTTTTCCCCCACTGACTGTGTGCTCTTTTCCCACCAGCAAGGAGGTCGGATGTTCAATGATGTTGGCCTCTAGAGGGTATCCTTGCGAGGCTGGGTAACAGCGGACTCGCCTCGCCCCCTTGTACGCCGGCCAGCGGTGTCCGCCTCCGCTCCCTGCAGCCACGCTGGTTTCGGAACTAACTTCGTACAATATTTAGAAAATACATGTTTGCAGTTTTGAACTGATGTTGAAGTGAGATTTCTCTTCGTATTCTGAGCAGTACTTCGCGCGTCAGGAGCTCTAC